CCATAAGATTTTTGAGCTTGGAGAGCCTTTGCTGCATGCCAGGGGTCTGAGAAGTTTTGTCCTGGCTTAACACAGAAGCACAAGGGTCTCCAGGGACTGCTGAGAGCTCCTTTGTTTAGTGGTATTTTTTCCTTTCTTTTTTTTTTACTGGAGTACAGTTGCTTTACAATGTTGTGTTAGCTTCTGTTGTACAGCAAAGTGAATCAGCTATGAAAGGAAGTGTTAGTCTCTCAGTTGTGTCTGATTCTTTGTGACCCCATGGACTGCAGCCCTCCAGGCTCATCTGTCCAGAGGATTTTCCAGGCAAGAGTACTGGAGTAGGCAGTCATTCCCTTCTCCAAGGGAACTATATGTATGTATATATATATATATATATATATATATATATATATATATATACCCCCTCTTTTTTAGATTTCCTTCCCATTTAGGTCACAACAGGGCGCTGAGTAGAGTTCCCTGAGCTATACTGTAGATTCTCATTTGTTACCTATTTTACACACAGTAGTGTATGTTAGCCCGTCTCCCAATTCATCCCAGCCCCCCATCCCCTTCCTCCTTGGTATCCATAAAGTTTGTTCTCTACGTTTGTGTCTCTATTTCTGCTTTGTGAGTACATTCACCTGTACCATTATTCTAGGTTCCACATATAAGTGATCTTATCTAATATTTGTTTTTCTCTTTCTGACTTTCTTAACTGCCTTCCAATTAACTAAATCTGACACACCCTGGGCTTGAGCAAGTTTCTGTTTCACCATCACAATTCACTGTGGGCTCACGTGGATGGTACCTAAGCACCGACAGGCTGCCCAGGTCATGCTGGGCTGGGCAAGATAGGATGCATGGGCCCAAGAATGACATCCTTTCAGAGACAGTGGTATCTGTTCATTCTTGCCACTTGGAAACAGATCCACTCCCAGACATCCAAAGCAACTAGGAGAAACTGGTTGTTCAAACGTCCACGTGGGTGTGGATGGGTGTGGTGTAACACCACAGGTTTGGCTGTCCTGACTCTCTGCATATCTCATCTCCCCTTCCCTTCCCTAGACCTGGGCTTCCCCTCACCACTACCAACTTCTCTGACCCAGAAAGGAGCTTCCCTCTCCATCTTGCTGGGAGAAAGAAGTTCAAGTGAAGTTCAGGAAGCACTCCAAGCCCCAGATCCTGGGGGTAGGAGGTCCTAATAAAATCCATCCCCTTGTGGTGAATTCTACGACAACTGCCACCCAAGTTTCGATGCAGTGCAGCATTCTGTGTGTCCCATGGCTTTATCTCTGGGTGACACCTGATGATCAGGCAGGGAAGTTGTAGTGAATCAGGGCTGCCCAAAGGCCAGGGCTGGACCACGGGGGCTCCAGGAGCTGTCAGTGATTCAGGCAGTGGGTCCTTCCCAGAGACTGGGTCAGAGCCCAAGTGCTTTACAGCTCTCTTGCCTCACCTATTAACATCTTCCTGGAGAGAAGCACTAAAGCTAGGATGACCATGGCATTACCATCCAAACTGGGACAGCAAAAGTGAAAGTGAAAGTCGCTCAGTTGTGTCCGACTGTTTGCAATCCCATGGACTATACAGTCCGTGGAATTCTCCAGGCCAGAATATTGGATCGGGTAGCCTTTCCCTTCTCCAGGGGATCTTCCCAACCCAGGGATCAAACCCAGGTCTCCCACATTGCAGGTGGATTCTTTACCATCTAAGCCACAAGGGAAGTCCAAGAATACTGGAGTGGGTAGCCTATCCCTTCTTTAGTGGATCTTTCAAACCCAGGAATCGAGTTGGGGTCTCCTGCACTGCAGGCGGATTTTTTACTAACTGAGCTATCAGGGAAACCCATAACAGCAAAAGGAGGAGTCATTAATAAATATGCTGGGAAACAACACATAAAGGGCTACGATGGGGCTTCCCTCGTAGCTCAGTGGTGAAGAGTCTGCTTGCCAATGCAGGAGACATGGGTTTGATCCCTAGTTTGGGAAGATCCCACATACCACGGAACAGGCCCTTGTGCCATAACTATTGGGCCTGTGCTCTAGAGCCCAAGAATCACAACTATTGAGCTCACATGCTGCGACTACTGAAGCCCATGCCCCCTAGAACCCATGCTCCACAACAAGAGAGGTCACTGAAATGAGAAACCTGTGCACCGCAACTAGGAGACCTTGATCTCAGCAACTAGAGAAAGCCCTCGCAGCAACGAAGACCCAGCACAGCCAAAAGTACACAAATAAGTGAAATTATATTTCAAAAAGGGTTAAGATGATAGCTCATCCATCCCCAGTGAGGGAATAAATCAAATAGGAGAATCCAGTTATCACCATTTCTCACCCTCCCTTACATGATGCAAAACAAAACCATAAACCTCTCCTCACCAGAGCAGGTAAAAGGGTCCATTTCCAGTATGGACACCAAAATGAGCAAATTATCAAACTAGGTACCCTTCGCCTGCCTGAGACTATTCCCATGGGAGCAGTCAGCTCTGTCCCTTCTGTCTGTGCTGAAGTCAGAAGAAAACCTGGTTGCTAGCCTGGATGGGAGCGGGGTTTGAGGGAGAATGGATACATGTATATGTGCGGCTGAGTCCTTCTCTGTCCACCTGAAACTACCACAACATTGTTAATCAGCTGTGCCCGACTCTTTGAGACCCCAAGGACTGCAGCCCACCAGGTTCTTCTGTCCATGGGGATTCTCCAGGCAAGAATACTGGAGTGGGTTGCCATGCCGTCCTCCAGGGGAATCTTCCTAACCCAGGGATGGAACCCAAGTCTCCCACCTTGCAGGTAGATTCTTTACCACCTGAGTCATCAGGGAAGGCCATGAACACTGGAGTGGGTAGCTACCAGGGAAGCCTGTTAATCAGCTATACCCCAATACAAAATGGTTTTGGTGTTACAAAAAATAAAAATTAAGAAAAAAAAGAAAAGAAAATCCGGCTGACAGACCTTCCGGAACAAAGTTTTTTGTTACTTATTAAGAAGCCACTCCCTGGAGGTGCAATCTTCCTCCTAAGTAGGGACACCTGTGTATAAAGGACCACAAGCAGGCAGTTCCGTAATTCCACATTCAGCCTGCAGGGGGCAACATCTCTCTAGCAATGACCACAATGTGAGTGACACTGCAGGAAATGCTTTTAATTGATCAAGGAATTAGGGGGGTTTTTTTGTAAAAAAAAAAAAAATCGGATCAATATATGTCCAGTAAATAATTTTTACCCCTACATATTTTCACAGAGAGATGTTACTCTCTATTTACAGTGCTAGGTACAGAATGAATTTTTAACAAATAAATACTTGCGGATTGATCAGTTGTTTGAAGATAACCCAAACTTGCCTGAGGCATGGAAAGTACAGCGTGAGCCAGGAGGAAAGAAATTCGAGGTTGGTGAATATGCATGAAAAAGCACTTTCCTCTCTGGTTAATAGTTTGCCCAGGCAGGGAAGTGCATTTGAAAAACCTCTCTCCAAGAGCATACCGTTATTAACTTGATTCTTTAAAAACAAAGAATAAAATAGTAATCTTGGTTCATAAACCGTCCTCATTTCAAAGTCCATCTCGCATACATGATAGATCAATGGGTTCCAGGTTAACGCAGGTTCCTACGTGTTGAAAGCTTTTACATGGAGACTCGGGCCTTTCAGATGCATCGACTCTGAAACTCTTGCACCCCTGCTCCCCACCTAGGCTTGGAAGAGACAGGTTGAAGCCCGCCTACCACGGAGAAGGGACCGTTGAGGTTCGTTTCTCCGGCAGCCCTGACCGCAGAGCAGGGCAGCCCTCCTGGCCTTGGCTGGCCTAGCAGTAGACACGCCCGTGTTTTGAGTCGGTAACATTCCTTTCCCCACAGAGCAGGCCACAGGCCTATGCCCTGCAGCCATTTGTCCACCTCTCCGACTGGGCTCCGTTTTCCGAGCAGCACAGGATGAGCACCTTCAGTACCACCAGCATCCCTTAGCACCCTGACCCATGGGGACTCCTGCAGGGGAGAGGCTAACAGACTCGGGCAGTTTGGGACAGAAGGCCCGGATGGAGAGGATGCCGGGCAGACGTCTGTCCTTGAATGAGGGACGCGCGGTCCTCAGCGCCCCCTGGAGGGCGGTGTCTCCCACGACACTGGGCCACCCAATGGCTGCAAGCCTTCTTACAGGCCCAAGCCCCCATCCTCCAGGGCTCGCGGCCGCAGTTGCATGGGGTAAAGCCTCTGCAGGGAGAAGGCGGCAAGGCGATCCGAGCAGGGTCAGCTGAGAGGGAGACCTCCGGGACCCCGCTGACCGGGAGTGGATGTTGCAGGAGCCCAGCTGCCTTCCTCCACTCCCTGACTTGCTACCTGTCCTCTGGGGTAGACTTCAACATGGCTGTTGGCCGCAGTTCCTGCCCAGGGCCCTCAGGACACAAACGGGAGGGATGTGGGGATGGGGAGGGGGGAGTCAAGTCTTCCTGGAAGGTGCTGAGGCTGCAGGTGGGTGAGTTCATCTGAGGAGGGGAGTGGGCGAGGGGTCCCACAGCCAGGGCCCAACCTCAGGCGCGTGTGGAGACTGTGGCGGGCCACCAGCCCAGAAGTGTGCCGGGTCCCTTTCTTCTCTCCCCCACAGTGTGGTTGACGTAAGGGACCTTGACAGAGGGTTTCAAAAGCCAAAGGAGGGCTGGGAAACCCTGGGGAAGCCAGGGTCAAGGAGGGTGGCAGAGTCACGGAGAGGTACAGGGCGCTTGACAGAGGGCCGTGGGCCCTGCCCACCCCACTCCCCTAGTCAGAAAGGTCTCTCCACACTATCAGGCCCCCTCCTTCACTTTACCAGGCGGCACCCAGCTTGAGCCTGCACAGGCCTGGCCTGGACACAGGGTAGGGTCTGGGGTGAGGGTGACAGCGTGGTACCCCTGTCCTCTGAGGGTGAGGCTGCCCCTCCCACCATGTGGAGCTCTGGCAGAGAGGAACCGGTTGGAGTTAGGCCTCCCCCCGCCACCCCTCTGTCCCCAGTGAGGAAGGCCTTGGGGGGCCAGGGGAGGGGAGCCCATCACTTCCCCCCCCGGGGAAGCGCGGCGGGGGCTCCAGGCTGGGTGGCCATGATGTGGTAGATGGATTCTCGGAAGCGCTGGTCCCTGCTGAGCCGCTTGGCCACCTCCTTCAGCTCCTCCATGTTGTTGGCTTCCAGCTGGGAGGTCATGAAGGACTGGGAAGGCTTCACTGGGGAGACGGTGGCCCCCAGGGCCCGGCTGTGAACAGCCTTCCCTCCACTGGGACACAGCCCTGTCCCCGGCCCCCACCCCGCCCCCCTGCTCCCCATCCTCCCCATGCTGGTCCCTGGGCTCCCGTGACCCTGGGGGAAGCCCAAGACTGGGGCCACAAGGGCTCAGGGCACACTGTCTGACCTCAAGGCTGGATCAGCCTCCCCACCTCCACACCCTGCCTTCTTCCGGCCCATTGTCGCTGACAGCCCGTGAGCATCCCGCCCACCGGTGCGGGGGGGGGGGGGGGGGGGGTGGGGGGTGGGGGGGGGCGCCTGCCACACCCACCGTCGTTCCAGGAGGTGCTGGAGCGGCGCCGGTGGAAGCGGCAGCTCTTGATGCGGCGAGTGGCCGCCTTGTGGATGTACACCGAGTTCTTCATGATGACCGGCATCTTGGCCTCCAGCTCCGCATTCCGGATACACTCTTCAAAGAACCCTGCGGCCACAGTTCCACTGCACCCTCCCCTCCCGGCCGCCCCTCTCCTTCCCAGGATCCTGGTGGGCTCCAGAGGGAAGTACCCTGACCCCATCCTTTGGGAGACCAGAGTCACCTGCTGAAGGGGGAAGAAACACAGGCTTCCCTACCCACCCCCCAGATCCAAGAGCCAAAGGCAGCCACACACCGAGAAGATGCCGGAAGGCAGGGCGTCTGGAGAAGAAACTCCATCCACACCTGTGGGTCACCCGGTGCACACCAGGCCCCAAGTGTGCACCCCGGCCCGGTTCCCAGCTCCGCCGGGCCTGGACGGCCGTGCAGAGCTCTAGGGCTGGGCTGGTACCGAGGGCAGGGCTTACTCTTCAGGTGGCTCACGTCAGCCCGCATCCTCTCCTCCTTCTCCTTGTTCCGCACCTTGGAGTTGAGCCCTTGTTCCAGGCTTCGCAAGGCCCCTTCTGCCTCCCGCAGACGCCTCTCCAGGTCCATGCGGACCTTCACCTCAGCCTGCGGGCAGAGGCGAGGAGAGGGAAGTGGGTGCGGGGGGTCGGGGCGGGGTGCAGCTGCCAGCACCTGGCCCCTGGGAAGCCTTCTCTGATCAGCCCTGGCTCAAGTGGGCTTTGTTGCCTCCGGACTTGGATGGAAGTGATCGCATTCTGCTTGGTGTCTTATGCCCTCCACCTGATGGCCCGGACTCGGCCTCTGCACTGGGCCAGTGTCTATAATGATGCCACACACTATGCAGCAGGCTTCGTCTCAGGGCAGCTGCACTGCCCACGCCTGGCTGGTCAGATTGGCAGGGATAATTCAGGAAGTTGCCTGCTGAGGGCAGGGACATGAGGAAAGTAAGCCTCCAGGTGAGGGGGCGGGGGGCCCACCCCGAGCACCAAATGCTCCCAGTGACCCAGCACCTTGAGCTCGCGCTCGGCCTGCTGCTTCTCCACCGTCAGCTCCTGCAGCGAGTTTTGCAGCGCCTGGGACTGGCTGGAGTAGAACTCCCGCTCCTCCTCCAGGGCCCTGGAGCGCTCCTCGTTCTCCTTCATCCTGCCCCCCGGGGAGAGGTGCTCACTCAAGGCCCCACTCGCCAAGGGGGCATCCGGTGAGAGGGCGGCCCCTGCACAGGGAGCTGGCTAGAGAAACCCAGAGACCCTGCTTGGTGAGCCCCAGAGCTGGGCTGGGTCCTGTCCCCCCACCCCGATGGTAACAGGATGATGTGGTCAGTGCGGGGAGTCCTGGGTCCAGGTCTCGCTAGTTCTGTGAGCTCAGGAAGGTCCTCCAAGCCTCAGACTCCTCATCAGTAAAAAGCAGCTGGGAGGACCTGTCCAGCCTGTCTGTTAGACGGTCCTAATGACTCGAGTTAGCTTAGGATAGTGAAGGATTGCTTCCCACTTGCCTGCTGGGGAACCTGAGACCTAGGCAAAAGGAAATGAGTGATCTATCAGATCACGGCCAACCAGAACCCAAGGGCCCAGGCGTCCAGTTCAAGGAGAGCTACCCCTGTGGGCTCAGGGCTTCAGGGCTCCCTCACCGCTTCTCCGCCAGGAGCTTCTCCTCCAAGAGCTGCTGCATCTTCTCCTCGATCTGCCTCAGGTTGCTATGGAGACCCCCGCTGGGAGGCGGCTGCTCGCTCTGATTAGCCAGCGTCTGCAGCTGGTTCTCATTCTCCTCCAGCATCTCCAGGGTTTTCTTCTTCTCTATGGAGAGCTCCTGGCATGAGGGAGGAAAGGAAGTGAAGCAGCCTAAGTCAGGTTCTCTGTCTTCACCTGCCTTTCAATTCTGGCCAGTGAGGCCCTCCTTACTTAATCCTCTGAGGGACACTTGAAATGTCTTTGTTCATCCCTTGAGGTAAAAGGTCAACTAGGATCTCCCTCCTCCCACTGAGGCAAGGCTACTGCTCCATCGAGGGAGTCAGGGAACAGCCCTGCATGGCTTCCAGGGGACCCAAGGCCCAAGGGCGCCACGAGGTTCTGGGTGCTTGTTCCTCCAGGGACAAGTGAGGGAGTGTGTTGGGCTCATGTGAAAAACACCCAACAGGAACCAGCCCAAGAGCATTCTCTCCACTTATCAGACTGGGATCTTGTACTACTCAGAAATTCTGGAGTTGACACTATCCGTAAGAACCACCTCCTGTGATGTGGGACAGGGAAAGATAAACAAATCAAAGACGCCACTAACAAAGCCCCATCAGTCAAGGGAGAATAGAAACCTCGCAGTCTACAAGTCTTGAATTTTGTAACCATCACGGATCTCCCACGACATGCCAGGCTCACTCGAGGTACTGGACTTGGAGGGGCCTTAAGACACAGTCTACTGATGCCCACCATTTGGAAAGTACAATCTCATGTGTCAAGCGCATTCACAGATTCACTAAGTGTGTGGGACCCAGAGCTCAGAGCCAATCCCTCCCCTGGAACAGTCAGGGAGGCTTGACTAAGGTGATACTCGGACCGAGCCTTAGAAGGATGAGAGCATTCTCCAGGCGGAGAAGAGGGCAGAGCACAGTCTGGGCAGAAGGAACAGTGTGGCAAGGATGGGGAGGATGAAAGGTGTGGCTTCTTGCGGGCATGTGTGCTCAGTGGTCTGAAGTTGGGGTTGGGGTATCGTCGTGCTGGGAGGGGCAGCAGGGGGAGAGGGGACAGGAGGGGAGGAGAGGCTGGGGCCGGAGTGGGCACTTGGACGTGCTAAAGTGTCTGCCTTCTATCCTTTGTGCATGCCACCTCCTCCTCCCTCACAACTTGTGTGGAATCAAATGGATTTTCCCTCCTGCTCAATTTCACCCCTGGAGCAGCTAAGTGAATGAGTCACAGGAAGGAAGCGATGGGTCACCCTGCCCCACTCCCTAATCAATCCTCCGTCTGGTGTAAAAATATAAGCACTGAAGATGGTAGATTTCTCAAGGCCATAGTCACCATAAAGGCAAACTTGAATTTGCCCTTCGGGGTCCTGCTTTGGGCCTCATGTGTCGACTGGAGTTCCCAATGGTCCACAGAGACGAGACCCTTTAGATCAGCGCCCCTTCATGCCCTGTTTTCCTTGCAGATAACCCTCTAGAGAAACACTGTTGGGAAAAAACTGCATCATGTGGCCCAACCAACCAGCCTGCCTCCTTCCAGGAAACCAGCCCGCCAGGGGCCCCTCACCTCCAGCGTCTGCTGTAAGGACTCCGTGAAGTGTCTTAGCTCCTTTTTCTCTTGCTCCACGCCCTTGAGGCATCTTGCAGTCAGCTCAAGCTCCCTGTGGGGACAGAAGGCAGGGTATGGCCGTGCCCACCCCTCCCAGCCCTGGTGTGGCTTCCACCACACCTCCCTGTATGGCTCAGAGGGTTCTCTGAAGGCCAGCTCCTCACATGGCTGGTCCTGCCAGCAACTGCACGGGCCCTGGGCTGAATGAAGGAAATCCCGGCCAAGTGAGGCTGAAGTCACCTGCTCCAGGTACACATGAATCTGTCAGAGTAAATCCAGGGCCACCCCAAGGGCAGAGAGGAGAGCTGGAGAAACAAAAGCCTCACTCCCTATCTTCTCAGGACAGCTTTTGCTAGAACCTATTCACCCTGACATGGGACGTGGCTGAGGCACTTCTCTGGGGTGACAAACTCCTTGCTGCTATCTTAATAAGCCTGGGTCCCCTTCCCCTTGCTTGGGATGTTTTTCCTCTCTGCCCAATTTTCAAACTCCTACCACCCCTCAAGACCCAGCTCAATTTAACCTGTTGAAGCCCACAGGCATCATAAATATATATATATCTTAGGTAGGGAGTCTGTTCTACGCCTTTGAGCACCTCTTTGTACATTATGGGAAGTACTGTTGATATTTCCTGGGTGTGAGTCTGGTTTTCCCAACCAGATCCTCAAGGGAGGAGACTTATTTTCCATTCCAGAGTCTGGCACAAAAGTACTTCCAGGTACTTCCAGAAGTAGCTGGCTATTAGCTGGTGAGTTTCCCTGAGCTTCTCCTGCCCCAAAATACATGTCCAGTGACTTTCTTTTATAAGGTTGTTGTAACAAAAATCCTTCTCGGCTATCACTGATAATCAGTAGTGGTCACGGTGGTAGTAATGATGGTGGCTACAACCAAAACCACCTACAGTACCCAGAGCAGCTGTCTCCAAGTTCATCGATTGACTGCATCAGAATGACCTGGAAGGCTTTTTAAAATATAGATTTCTGGGTTCTACCTTCAGCAGATTCTATTAATAATCCTCTTGTGTGTGCTGTTTAGTTGCTCAGTTGTGTCTGACTCCTTGCAACCCCATGGACTGTAGTCTACCAGGCTCCTCTGTCCTTGGGATTTTTTCAGGCAAGAATACTGGAGTGGGTTGCCATTTCCTCCTCCAGGGGATCTTCCTGACCCAGGGATTGAACCTGTGTCTCCTATGTCTCCTGCATTGCAGGCAGATTCTTTACCTGCCGGGCCATGGGGGAAGCCGTAATAATCCTCTTAGATGATTATAATGTGCAACTGGGTTTGCAAACCATACACAGACAAAAAAATCCCAAGGGACAGGCATCATTGGCCAGAACGTGAAGAGACTGTGCAAAAAAGACAAGGAATGTTGGCGGGGGGGGCGGGGGGGGGTGGTCTTGGCCAGCGGCACCTCCAGACCAGCCTGTCCAGTCCACCCCGGGGTAAGGGAGGTGTGACCGAGCAGGAGGGCCTCACTGCTGGTGGGATGTCTGGTTGGGACCTGCCCATGCCTCACACTCCACCGGGCAGAAGTGACCCCTTGGTGTGGGGTCTATGGCTTTTTCCTAGGCCCCCCAAGGCCTGGAGCTTTGGGAGGTCGGGTCCAAACTAAGTCACTGACCAGTGAGGATCTCCTGGGGGCAGGCCTCACCAGCCTGGTGGGACACACGGGTCTTACCCGTCCTAGCCTGGGCGCACGTTCCTCCCCCCACCCCCGCCCCACCAGGGCACCACGGCCACCTCTTGATCTGTTCCTGCTCCATCCTCAGCTCCTGCACCACCTCCTCAAACTGCTGCTTCTCGGCCTCCAGCACCTGGTTCAGGCGCTCAAGAGCCTGAAGAGAATCAGAGAGGAAGAAAAGAGTCAGAGACAGCAAAGGGGCCCTGGGGCCAGGAACCCCCACTCTCACCCAGAGGACACCCTGGGATTCAGTACAATCTGTACTGACTCAGAATTAAGCCCTGAGGAGTCCTGATCCCACTCAGTAACACACAGTCTCAGTGAAACCAAGATCTGTGATGCGCTGGGCTCATTTACAACACCCTCGACAAAAGAATATATATACAGACATACAATTGAATCACTTTTGTTGTACGCCCAACACTAAAACAACATTGTAAATCAACTATACTTCAACAAAAATTTTAACAATAAACAAACAAAACAAAACCAAAACACACTTAGCATGCTGAGGGCAGGGTTTAGAAATTATCCCAACATTAGTTCTTAGACTGGCGTGCTTGCATCCTAGGTTGCTTCACTCATGTCAGACTCTCTGTGACCCTATGGACTGTAGCCCACCAGGCTCCTCTGTCCCTGGGATTCTCCAGGCAAGAGTACTGGAGTGGGTTGCCATACCCTTCTCCAGGGAATCTTCCCCACCCAGGGATTGAACTGGTGTCTCTTAGCCTCCTGTATTGGCAGGTGGGTTCTTTACCACTGGTACCACCTGGGAAGCCCTCTTATGAATGGATGTTTGGTAAAGAACCTGCTAATGCAGGAGATATAAGAGACATGGGTTCATTCCCTGGGTTGGGAAGCTCCCCTGGAGAAGGAAATAGCAACCCACTTCAGTATTTTTGCCTGGGAAATCCCATGGACAGGAGCCTGGGGGCGACAGTCTATGGGGTTGCAAAGAGTCAGATACAACTGAGCATCTGAGCATACTACAACATACTATGATAATTTTAGATGTCTGCTTTGCTGGGCAGCTCCTGTCACTCACACCCTAAGATGTGTTGGCTGACCCCCAAGCCTTGGAGTGAAATGTGTGGGTGTACATTTCCATTAAAGATCTCTGGAGTGGCATCTGTTAGAAGTGACAAAGAAAAGCCCCAAAGTCACAGAATAAAGACTTTTTTCTCAAGGCATCCAGGAAACAATGAGCTTTGGTGGCAGCCTCCCCTGGACTCATCCCCGAGGGAACAGGTGAGCCAGAAAGCCCAGGACTAGCTGGCCCAGGGACCCGGACCCGCTCCTTCAGGACTGCTGGCAAGCACAAGTGTTTTCCCAGCAAGCAGGCGCTCCCCCAGGGGTCCTGTATTCCCGGGGCTCAGTAACAGGTAGTATTGGTGGGTACACGTCAAGCCACGGGTGGTTAGAAGTATTTTGTGACAACTGTTTTGTTTCTCCACATTTTACTCTCTGGGAGGATATTATTTCTAGATGCACATTCTCTCTTATCTTATAGTTCTGAATTACACCCTCATTTTTCACCCAGAGGCTTTGTTCTCAAGGATAACGGAAACCCCTCCAGGGAGGTGGGGTGGCTGCCTGTAGGGGGAAATTGCCCTTGGCTTTGAGGAAAAGCAGAGAAGGAATAAAACCCAAGGAAAGGGAAGAGTCTGATTTTAAACCCTATGTCCTTCACCCCTAAGCTTCTTACCCCAAAAGTTGCTATTTTTTCTCTTCTAATTATTACTGGCATTTTGGGTGTGGCTCATAAGTAGTCATCCCTGGCTGCTCACAGGGCTCTGACGCCCTCATGATACACTGCGTGGCCACAGTCCACCTGTAAAAGTTGGGAGGCCCGTGGGTCTGGCCGAGGCCGGTGGAACGTGAACAGAAGTGCGTCCCTCCAGGCAGACACCTTTTACAGACTGGGCATGACTCACTGTGTTCCCTTCCCTGCCACATCAGCCAGTGCTGCCGCTAACAGTGGAGCCTCCGTGAGCCTGGGTTTCCCCGAGTGAGGAGGGGTAGAGCAGAGCCCCACGCTGAGCCATGTAGCTGAGTGAGAAATAGACCCTTGCTGTTCAAAACCACTAATATTTTGGGGGTGTGTGTGATGGCAGTAGACACAGCCACATACAGACATAATATAATATAAATATACTTAAAATTTTATTCTTGTAGACCTCCCTCTTTTTAATGCAAGAAGAGTTCAGAGCTTCAAAAAGTTTGAAAGCCTCTATTTTCATACATTCTCAGTAGCTGACCTATGATGTTCTGAATGACGATAAACAGTGATGTGGCCTCAGATTCGTATTTCCTTTCTCTGGTGGCCTCTACCTGCTGCGCCAGGGCTGTTACAGGCTGGAGGCATCCCTGGGTTAGACCTGAGAAGTCACAAGGGCACTTGGCTCTTATGGGCACCTGGCTTTTGCTGCTTCAGAACAGATCAGATATGACCTGACTGGAAGACACCCTCCCACGGTCTCAGCCTCTTGGCCTGGAGAGCCCCCTTTTCCAATACCCCAACCTGCAATTATTTCCCTTTACTTACTATTACCCTGTGATATCTTTTTATAATTAAAAATGAGAGAAAATAAATTATGAAAATCCCATGGAAATGTCCATTCACTGTTGGTGGAAGTGTCAATAGGTACATATTTTTAAAAAGCAGTTTGGCCATATGCATCAGAAAGTCTAAAAGTTCTTGTCCTTTGAGTCAGTAATTCCACCTATAGGAATCTATCCTAGGGAAATAATTAGAAAACTAGACCAAGATTTATATACAAAGATGTTCGTTCACTGTGGCATAATTTATAATAGTGAAAACAGCCTAGATGTCCAAAAGTAGAAGATTAATGAACATCACATATGATGAATCAGTGCTTGGTCATTAAAACTGATGTTTTCAAAAAATGTTGAATGACGTGGAAAATTGCTGAAGGTATAGTGTTAATGAAGGTAAAATGAAAGATATCATGAAAAAGCCCATAAAACTGAGTATCTGATATGACCCTATTAGGTTTAAAATATTTGTAAGAATAATCTACAGGAACAAAGACAAAGGAAAAATGCTGAATTGACAGTAATTGTCTGTGGAGTTGTAGGGTTAAAGGTAAAACTTGTTTTCTTCTTCATGTTTTCTAAGTTTTCTATGAAGAGCATGATTTCTACCATTTCTCCTATTATGGGGGAAAGGTCTATATTAAAGAGCAAAAAGAAGGAGAATCTTCTTCCTGGATGCTCACTTCTTTCCCACTTTCCATTTCATCCCGATGATTCTTAAAGTGTCCAAGTGTAGCCTAAGAATGCTGACTGGAGTGGTACACACAGTCTATAAACCTGAAGCAGCTAGAAGCTCCTGTTCATGCAGCCCAAGATGACACGAGTCTTTGAGGCCCTCTTGCCACAGGCTGCGGTCAGCTAAGACCTACAGCAGCTAAGTCTTCATCCACCACATCATGCTCCTTCAGTGACTGTTGGACTTACTTAAGTTGCCAAAGTATGAGGTTGGAAAGAAGTCGGTAGAAAGCAGATTCCAGTTCCATGGAAAGAAGAGCTTTCAAATAATGGAACAATAATGCAAAGGACACCTCCAAAGCTGCCCGTGGCAGAATCAGGATCAACAACCATCAGGGAGGTCACCTGAGAGTCTCACCTGAAAGGGAGAGGTCCCTTCCAGCTCCGAGAGTCTAAGTTCTGACTGGGAGCACTCCACATGGCAAGAACCCTGCCTGAAGGGTCCTGGGCATTTATGATTTCCCATGTGCCTGCCCACATGCAAGGTTGAGCTCTCACAGTGCAATCAGAAGAGGAAAGGCAGGCCAGCTGCTCTCCCCCAGGGGATAAGAGTGAAGAGACCAGGCCCAACAGAGCCAGGGACACCTGAGGGGCCTGTGCCCAAGGAAGGGCGTGGTCTTCTGGAGAAACGCAGAACCTTGTTTGATTTTGTTTTTGTTTGCACCACGCGGCAAGCGGAACTTCACGGACCAGGGATCGAACCCAAGCCCTTTGCAATGAAAGCACAGAACCTTAACTACTGGACCACCAGGGAAGTCCTAGAGGCATTATCTTCTGATCCCAGGGCAGAAGACCCAGGACAGTGCCCTTTGAACTCTCAGCTCGTGCCCCTTGAGTTCCTGGCCCTTTCTACCACGCGGAGGATGTCAGAACTACACTATCACACAGTGCCCATCGGCCTGGGCCTTACCAGTCCACAAAGCACCTCCTGCCTTGTATTTCAATGAGCCCCACAGCAACCTGGGAGCCAGCCAGGCGCAGCCATCACTGTTACTGGAGCAACACAGAGGCTAATGTGCCCACAGTCACACAGTCAGCGATAGATTGGTACCAGATCCTGCGTCTCCTTTTAAACCAAACTACCTCTTAAAGATCAGAGAATCCTCAACTATCACTGGGCCAGGGTGCCACCTGCCTTTCTAAGTGGCCTATGCAAGGCCTCCCAGAGCATCTCTGACCTGGATGCAGATGGGAAAGGAGAAGGGGGCAGGTGGATCCATAATCTAGATGAACAAGGTAAGGAAGGGAAACCCTCGACAGAATGACTCCGTGAATTCTATTCTCCATCTAGAGCACACAGCTGACCCGGAAACGTGAACTTGAACACACTCCTCTTCCTTCTGCCAGCCGGCGGCAGCCTTCACTGGGGCACCAGCTGGACTCCAGTGAGTCTCACTCACATTTTGTACCCAAAACCCAGGAAATTCACAGCTGGCCGGCCTCCCTCCTTCAGCGTGCTACGGCTTTAAGCGAGGCCTGTGAGCAGTGGGTCTCTGCTGGCCTCATTTCCTGGCTAAAGACCTAGATAGAGTGTCTAAATTTTCCTCGGGCTGACTGCTGCCCCAGATTTAGCCTCTCTGATGGATAAGTCTGTCTCCCCCTGCCAGTGGCTGTATCTGTCACTCCATCCCATCCCCTGGCTTCCTAAATTACCTGCCTTTAAGTTGCTGACAATCTACCACATCTCACTTCTCAAAATGCACAGAACAGTCTGAAGAAAATGCCCATACTCTAATACAGGAGGGATCCATTTGAGAGCCTGACCCTGGGGGCCCACACATAGCCAGGGGGAGAAGGCTCAATGCTGTCACCACGCCAATCCTCAAATCCATGCAATCCTAATAAAAATCCTCAGTAGATTTCCTTCTGTGTTTGGTTGGTTGGGTTTTTGTAATTGACAAAATGACACTGAACTCCAGCTGGAAGAAAAAATGGGTGAGAATATCTGATAACATTTTAGAAGAAGAAAAATGAGGGTGGACTGTCCTACTGGTTAAAAATCAAGATGCAAAGTAAAATTATACAAATTAAAAATATTAAGTCATTCCACAACATTATTGAGTGCCCATCCTAGGCCAGGTACTCTGAAAGGCCCCAGGAGTATTCAGGGTGCAACAGTGCCATGAGGATTCTTCTTTTTTTCCGTGCTATGCTTCTTGATTGTCAGGCCTGTTCCCAAGCCCAGGGAGGGTGGTTGGGAAGGGTGAGAGGTTTGTGAGAATCAAGTCAGAGAAGCAGGCACTGAGCCCGGGCGGACAGGCCCAGCCCTGAACTTTCCTGGGAGAGATAAGCAACAGGAACCAGGCAAAGAGAAGTGGACCAAATCAGGCCCTCCCTCTGTGGGTGCTTCAGGGCATGCCACTCTGCGGCTTGGAGCTCAGGCAGTTGGCAGTTCAATGGTAGGATGGGCTCATAGTTAATGATTGTAATACTAACAAACACAAATGTTCATTAAGCATGTACTCTGTGCTAAGCACATATATAACATCTCACTTAATCCTCCAAATATACCTGATAAGATGGGTTCTATTATTATCTCTATTTTTCAAATGAGGCTATTAATGTTCAGAGAGGTGGGGTAACTTGCCCAAGGTCACACAATCAGAAGCAGTGAAAGTCCAATCCAGACACAGGCAGCCTGGCTCCACTGATAACCACTACCCCACCCTGCCCTTCATGACTTCTCAGAACAGGCAAGGCCCAGGGCTTCATGGAGATCCCAAATAGCATGGACTTTAGCAGCCCTCGCCTTTAAACGAGGCAAGGGTTAGGGTTAGCTGCCTCCAGCCAATGCTTGGCCTCCTTAAAACTTGTATCTTAACATTTAGAGGATGAAGGAACCTCTAATATCTTCCAACCCAGTCATCTTTATGGGGCCAGAAATCCCTCTGTGGATGAAAAAGGCTGCCTCAGCCTTCTGTGAATATCAGTAGTGACACGAAGCTCGTTGCCTCCTGACACAGCTTATAAAATTTCTGAATGGCTCTTTCTTTAGAAAGTGATCACCAACTCTTTTGACTTTTCTCCCCGGGGACTAGTAAGGAGAAACACACTTCTTGCCAAAAAGCGACAGCAAGTCCCAAGCACTGTCATCTCAGTGCCTTCCCTGCTCTGCCCGTCTGATTTCCCAGCAGGTTGCCTGGGAACCCGTCTCCCCTACACCCTTCCTTAATGCCAGAAACACAGGTCAGCGCACAGCGGCTGTGAAAGGGCCCATTGAGCAGGAGGCGGTGGGGAATGGCCTCGATGTGCCCCTACCTCTCTCTGCTCCCTCTGAAGGCAGAGTTCTTCAGTCTCTTCCATCAGTTTGTCTGCCAAAGCAAGGATACACACTCTCACGAGATGCTCACTGCAGATCCAGTCCTGAGGGGTCACTGTCTGTGATCACCTCCATCACCCCCAGTTCCTTCCAAGGATGAGGTTGGCACTGCTGGGCCTCCCAGCTGGGGGAGGGACCAGCTCCTGGGGCTGCAAACTCTGAGCTGGCCTGATCTGCTACCCTCCTCTCCTGGCAGTGACCCCACATTGTGCATTCACAAGACAATGACAGCTCATCTTTGGAAGCTCAAGTGGGTCTCTGCGCCCCCAGGGTGCTGTTAACCTTTGCACTTATTTCTGGTGAGTGAGGCAAGGCAGGTCCTGGGGGCACAGGGTGTCTAGAGCAGGCAGAGGGGAGTCAGTGCTCTGGTCCCCACACGTTTAAGGAGGCAGCAGGCAAAGGACCAACCTCCCAGACTAACTGTCTTTCTCAAACAGAGCATGCCTACCAGCTAATCTCGTTGGAAAAGACCCTGATGCTGGGAAGGAGTGATGGTAGGAAGAGAAGGGGGCGACAGAGGATGAGATGGTTGCATGGCATCATCTACTCGATAGACATGAGTTTGAGCAAACTCCAGGAGACAGTCAAGGACAGGGAAGACTGGCGTGCTGCTGTCCATGAGGTCTCAAAGTGTCAGACCCAGCTTAACAACTGAACAACAACAACCGCTAGCCCATCAGGGGCACCTGGGCCCAGAACCTTAAAGAGGGCTGGGGGTGAGAACTGGGATCTGGGGGCAACATCCTCTCTATTTGTGGGGCCCTTGCTGCACAGCTGACACAAGTGTTTCTAGGCATTTCCACCACCTCTAAAAGTTGGGGGCTGATTTTGTCTCCAGTTTAAGGGTGAGGAAACTGAGGCTTAAGATGAGCTGCCTAAAGATCCACACAGCTGATGCATAAATGACAAAGCTGGGTCCAGAGCTCCGGCTCCTAACCACTAGGCTCTCCTGCCTCCTGTCATGCCAACCCAGAGGACTCATATCATGCCATACAGCGCCCCCAGGCTCCGGGCTGGTCTCCGGCTTCTTGGAGCCTGCTAAACCCCTACCCAAGAAACCCTCCCTCAGTCCTGCACCAAACCTTGGGCTGCAGCCCCCGGCCCTGAAATGCTATCACCAGGGAGCCTGTTTGCAGCCCATCCGTCAGCCAACCTAAATACTCCTGCTTCTCCTTGGCCAACTGCAGCCCCTGGGCCTCCAGGCTTTTGATCATGGCTTCTCCCAGCTGGGCATTCTTCCAAGTCCTGGGGAGGGAGGGCAGATGGAACAGGAGAGAAGAGGAAGACACACACAACTGTTAAAACAGAAGGCTGGAGGAGAAAGAGAACGTGCATAGCGTGTCCTCGTCATCCTCTCTCCTCCAGAATCCCAGCTCGCACCCACCCTGGCCCCCGTGACTCTGGCCATGCCGCCAACATTGATCCATTACAGTCCCTGGAGGCTGGCTCAGGCTGCAAAGTGGGCCGCCGGGGGCTGGGCCAAGAGCACTCTGGGAGCAGGAAAGAGGTTGCTTCCTGGGCTGCTTTCTAGACCACTGAATGCCTACCACCTGCCAAAAGGCCTGGCCCAGGGCACCATTCAGAATTATTTGTGGAACTGAAAGCACAGCCCAGCATGAATAGGCAGGGGCCGAGACAGGGGTCTGTGAGCAAATGGGCTGGAGGTTTCTGTACCTCCACCTACAAACCACTGGTTTGTGCTAGGATTAACTAAGGGCCTGGGGAGATGAGATGGGTGTCAGGAGGCTGCCAACTTCTCCTAATGACACTGGATTTGCTCCTGAGAGTGGGAGACAAATGGTGCCTACGTGTGCACTTGTGACTAAACCAGCAAAGCTCATTTTGCTCGAATCTCACTTAGAAGACTCCCAAAGATGCTCTAAACCTGGTCTGTCTCCACTCCCCACACAAACCAGCTCCCCCAGCCCTGTGCTCCCCACCCTGCCCTCTCCCAGGGTGTCTGTGTGTCCACCAGCATCCCAATCGAGAGGCAGGGAGGTCAGGGTTGGCCCAGCCCACACTCTTTCCCCTTCCAGACCCTCAGGCTGCCCCCCTTCCTGCCCAGGTGCACTTACACCTTCCCAGACTCCTGCAGCATCTCCAGCCACTGGGTCTGCTCAAACTCCGACTCGGCGGCCAGCAAGATGGTCCCCTGCCAGGAAGAGAAGACCTTGGTGTGCCTGAGAGGAGCCACCCCGCGTGCCACCACTCGGCCTCTGCAGGCCTGCTCTGCGTTCTCACCCAGGTCCCCAAGTCACTGACGCTCTTCTCAGGCCAGCCCACTGGAGGGGATGCCCCCGGGGAGCCTGGGGCCCCAGGGAATCTGCTCTGTCCCTGCGGAGCCCAGGCCAAGCCGAGAGCCTTACTCACGTGGAAATCCTGGTGGGAGATTTTCATGGCGTAGGGCATGCTGGGCTCTTCCTTGGCCTCCACCAGGCAGCCACCCAGAGGGATGACACCCTGAGAAAGAACCAGAGCAGTGGCCCGCAGCCCACACCCAGCCCAGGTCACCGAAGGCCTCTGGGAGCCTTCAGCCAACATCCAGGTGTTGCTAAAGCCTGGAAACTAGAAGCCAGACCAGAACTCTCCCAGAGGGACACAGGAGAGACACTGCCTCGGAGGGGGCCAGGGTGGTTTCTGCATCCCCCCCCACCCCATGACTTGCCATGAGACCAGGGCAGGACACCAGAGAGCACCCTCCCCTCTGGGGACACGGTCCCCTATTGTTCCCACTGGGCCCTCCTGCACTGTGTCCTGGGGAGAGGCCCCTCACCTTGGGATGGATGTTGAAGTATTTGTTGGTTTCAAAGCTCTTTTTTTCGCCCTCAGAGTAGTAAAGAAGGAAGCTCTCTTTGATGATGAAAAACCTATAGTGGGTGGTGGGGAGGAGGCGCAAACAGGAGAAAAGGGGTGAGGTTTCTCGGGACAAGAGCACCCTTGTGCTCATGTGGGGAGCCCACAAGGACACTACTCAGACTCATCCTTGCCAACTCATGTGCCACATCCAGGCAAAGTCCTCAGCTGGCCAGGCCCCCGCCAACAGGCAGCCCATCCTCACACCAATGGACAAGTGTAAGTGGGAGGCCCACGGGCAGCCTCCCGCAGCTTCATAGCTGGCTCCTCCAGCCCCCCGAGCCGCCACCTTTGGCACAGGGGGGTATCTGTGGTCCTTCCCCTCAGGTACCTTCAGCCCTGTGAGTCTACCCCAGGAGGGGCAGAAGAAGGGCTGGAGGACACACAGTTCCAAAGTGGGTCTTTTGACAAGTGGTCCTGAAGGCTGGCCATCAGATGGCATGTGGGTACCAGGCTGGTGAGGCCAGGCCTGCAGCCTACATGTGCCACCTGCATCGCCTTCGGTCTTGGATGCTGCACACAGCCTCCTTCTGGGCCCTGGGGCTAACTGAGGGCTTCGCTGGGGGCTCAGCAGTGAAGAATCCACCTCCAATGCAGGAGATGTGGGTTCGATCCCCGGGTTGGGAAAATCTCCTGGGGAATGGAATGGCTACCCACTCCAGTATTCTCGCCTGGAGAATCCCATGGACAGGGGAGCCTGGCCAGCTACAGTCCACCGGGTCGCAAAGAGTCAGACATGACTGAGTGACTAACACTTTCACTTTGGAATCTCTAAGCCTCTGGGGCTTTCTGACTTTGATGCCCACAGGCGGAGCTCTTGCATCCACCCAGTGACTCTCATAGGACTGATGACTAGATAAGACAGCAGGTGCCCTCCAGGAGAAGATCCAGTTGGACCTGAGAGCCCAGAGTGGTAGCTCCATCCTCCTGGGGCAGCTGCTAATGCCGCTGTTGGAGCCATGGGACTAGGGGGAGCCGGAAACACGGCTCAGATGGGCTCATGGAGGCCAACAGCGGGACCCTCCCCTGCTATGTGATCAGCGACAGTGTATCAGTAGCTGACGTCAGTCAGAGTCCGAATATTTACACCATGGAAATCATCAAATGCTACAAAACATCAAGTGCTCCACCCCACCCCACCCCCAAGAGAGCAAGCGGTTAAACATTCACCGGCTCACCCCTGGTTGGACACACCCTCTTGGGAGGAACTCAAAAAGTGGCCGGTGAATCTCTGAAGGTGCCACCAACTAAGGGGACCCTCCCGAGACCACAGCTACAGTGGGAGAGGCCACAGCCACAGTGGGAGGGTCGCTGTGACTGCCGACAGCTGCTGTCTCCCCTCCCCCAGGAGAGGAGCTCAGCTCTGTCCTTCACCATGCACCCACCCCAACCATGTTCTTTATTTGCATGGGCGCTCTCGGCCCAGCCAGACACTGTGGGCAGCTGTGGGCCTCAGAGGTGACATCCTGCTAAAGCCGACTCACCCCCCACCCCCGTGGAGGAAGAACACACAAATACCACTGTCTGCAGAACAGCAGACATGTCCTGGGCCCCCCAGCACCTGACCCCTGCCCACCTTCTCAGCCATCCTGCCATTTCTGCCTTTTAGCCTCTTGGCCCCACAAACCCTGAGCTCACTGCCTCCCACCTCACTCTGTCTTGCAGGATCCTGCAAAAGAGACCACACAATTTCCCAGGAATGCCTACTCTCTCTCTTCACCTGGCTGAAACTGTCTCACGGTTGGCGACCAGCCCAGCCCACACTGCCGTATGAGCTCCTTCTGTCCATGCTGACCGGCGATGCACTTGGCACTGAGCACCACTGCCACACCCTGGTGCCCACTCTTGTCTGCAGGGCGTGTCATGGTCCCTCAGTCCTGTGGGACACGAGATGTCCTTTGACAGTTTCAAAGGAAATTCATAGAGTACATAAGAACACAGAGCTGTCACTTCTCAGCCTGGGGTGGGGGGGAGGGGGAGGGGCTAGACCAAGTAAGCTTGCCTCTCTGAGCCTCAGTTTATTCACCTGTAGAATAGGAGTGATAACACGGACCTCATCTGGTTATTGTGAGGATCAGATGAGACTGTGCTCATCACTCTGCCAATTTGAAGAAGAGCCAGGACTGGACTGAGTGACACATCTCCACAGTCCTGTCACCCACAGAAAAATGGGAGGCAGGGGGCACAGGGCTGCCTCCTAGGGACCCTTATTCTCCCCTTTCAGTGGTTACTAAAATACTGCTATTGAATGAACTGTATTCCCCCAGATTCATAAGTTGAAGCCCTATCCTCCAATGTGACTGTATCTGGAGAAGGGGTCTTATTTTTTTTTAAGATTTTTCTTTGTATAGAACAGACTTTTGGACTCTGTGGGAGAAGGCGAGGGTGGGATGTTTCAAGAGAACAGCATCGAAACATGTATATTATCTAGGGTGAAACAGATCACCAGCCCAGGTTGGATGCATGAGACAAGTGCTTGGACCTGGTGCACTGGGAAGAACCAGAGGGATCGGGCGAAGAGGGAGGTGGGAGGGGGGATCGGGATGGGGAACACATGTAAATCCATGGCTGATTCATGTCAATGTATGACAAAACCCACTACAATATTGTAAAGTAATTAGGCTCCAACTAATAAAAAAATAAAAATAAAAAAAAGATTTTTCTTTGACGTGGACCATTTTTAAAGTTTGTATTGAATTTGTTACAATACTGCTTCTGTTTTATGTTTTGGTTTCTTGGCCCCAAGGCATGTAGGATTCTAGCTCTCCAATCCCAACCAGGGATCAAACCTTCAGCCCCTGCATTGGAAGGTAGACGCTTAACCACAGGACTACCAGGTAGCCCCTGGAGATAGGGTCTTTAGATAGTAGTTAAGGTTACATGAGGTCAAGAAGTGGGGCCATAATCCAATCCTATTAAGACGAAGCATTTGCTCTCCCACTTGGCCCCTTGAGAACATAGTGAGAAGGCGGCTGTCGGCAAGCCAGGAAAAGAGTCCTTCCCAGAAAGAACCTGCTTATGTCAGCATCTGATCACAGACTTTTAGCCTCCCAGGAAAATTAATTTCTGTTGTTGAGCAGAAGGGTTTAACAGTGAACAGACTGTTTACTCAGTCTATGGTATTTGCCTAAGCTGACCAAGATGAATACTTTCTTGCCTTTGTGACACTTCTAGAGACCCCTCCTCCCTCAGAGCAAAGCATTGTGCCAGGGATTCGGTGAGGGTGGCAGACAGCTGGTCACTAGACACACAGACAGGGAGAGAATGGGGCTCTGGAGGCAAACAATCCCTATCCCTCAAGCCACAGCCTCCGGCCGGCTCCCAGCCTTGCAGAATCTTCCTTTCAAAGCTCTTCTGCAAAACGAGGCCGCGCGTATCTGCCTCTTGGGGCTGCTATGAAGAAACGTTCATTGAGTCAACAAATAATCGCTGCACTCCTACCTGCACCAGGCAATGTTCTGAGTCTTGGGGACAGAGATGTGGGCAAGAGAGACACAGATCCCTGTTCCCATAGAGCTTATATTTGAGTGTGTGTAGTGGGGACGCAGACAGTAAGTTAGAAAGAAAGACATGCCACATACCAGATGCTGATAAATGCTATGGAGGAAAATAAAGCAGGGGGAGCAATGGGGTGAGGGGTGGGTGGGGGAGGTGTTGATGTTACACAAAGTGGTCAAGGAGAGCCTGAAGGCATCATCTGTGGAAAGGTAAGTGTTCCAGGCAGAGGAGCCATAGGAGCAAAGGCCCTGGATGGGAAGTTTGCCTGGTTCTGGAAGGAACTGCAGTGTGGCTGCAACAGAAGGAACCAGGTAGAAAGCAGATTGTGTAAGGCCCTGTTGGCTACTAGAATAGCATTAATGATAAAAGTAACGTTTATTTAGCACTTACCCCAAGCAAATACGTTATTGCAAGCAGTTACCTCTGTTAATGCATTTAACACTCACTATTATCCTATAAGGGCTTCCCTGGTGGCTCAGATGGTAAAAAATCTGCCAGAAATGTGAGAGACCCGGGTTCAATCCCTGGGTGGAGAAGATTCCCTGGGGAAGGAAATGGCAACCCACCCCAGTATTCTTGCCTGGAGAGTTCTGTGGACAGAGGAGCCTGGTGGGCTGTAGTCCACAGGGTGGCAAAGAGTCATTGACGATTGAGCGACTAACATTTTCATTTTCCCATGAGGCAGGCGCCTGCATTTTCTATGGGCAGAAATGAAGCAGAAAGTTGACGTGACCTGCTGAAAGTCAGACCGCTAGTTGACAGAGGCTGATTTTTCCTCTGAGTAAGAGGGACAAGCCCTGGAGGGTTCGGAGGAGTGACACGATCTGACTCGCACTGCAGAAGGCTCAGTGTTGCTGGGGGGTTAGGGGGTAATGCATGGGATCCCTTAGGGGCTGGGGCCACAGGAAAGGATCCAGGGGACGAAGGCATGAAAGCCCTCCACATCTGTCTGCCACATAGGATGTCACTGCCGAATGTCACGGCCCTCCTCTCTGTGCCCTCTGAGAGGCAGGGGAAGACGGATGTCCAGGGCACGCTTTGTTCCAGACTTCGGCAGAGCTTGGGGATCCCATGGCCACAGGGGTCATGAAGGGTCACGTGCCATGCATGCCAAGCCTGGTCTGGTTGCAGCTGCTCTCGGTTTGCTTCGGGTGGGAATGGGAATCAAGTAAAGGAAGCTGGCATGGATCTGGAGGAGGAGGGTGACACCCCAGCTGGCAAGGAGGAGGATCACCCAACAAAGGGTACATCTGGCAAGTTCACTTCGAGGACCCAAAGGGCTGGCGTTGCTTGTAACCGTGTCTCAGGACCTGCCAGGTGCTCCAGCCGATGACTCTCGGCTTCTCTGCAGCAGGCGGGGGCCCAAGGTTAGAGTGCCCCTGCACAGAAGGATACTTCCTCTTCCTGCCCCTTCCTCCACCATCCCCTTACTCCCAGGGTTCTCACTCTGACCACAAGCCAGGGGCTGCCTCCTTCTGAGTCCTGCAGAGTTAGGCTCACTGAGTTGGGCTGGAGA